TAGAGATTGACCCTTCGAAAGCCAAAGCTATTCTGGAAATGCCAGCACCAAGGACAGAAAAAGAAGTCCGAGGCTTCTTGGGAAGGTTACAGTACATTAGTCGTTTCATCAATCAGTTGGCCGATACCTGTGGCCCAATTTTCAAGCTACTTAGGAAAGGAGTGGCAGTCAAATGGAATGAGGATTGTCAGGCGGCCTTTGACCAAGTCAAACAATACCTGCTATCCCCGCCAGTCTTACAACCACCAAGGCTAGGAAAGCCTTTGCTACTGTACTTGTCGGTAACAGAAGAAGCAATGGGGGCCATATTAGCTCAACAAGCAGAAGATACAAGGATAGAAAACGCCGTGTATTACCTCAGTAAGAGGATGCTGGAATATGAGTTGAAATACAACAAGATAGAAAAGTTGTGCCTGGCTCTAGTCTGGGCCTGTACCAAGCTGCAACACTACCTCTCGTCTTCTTACACTACAACACGTAATCTCTGAATCGAACCCCACTGGAAATTCCTTATGGAAGGCCAGTTCTTGATTGTAAGATGGCCAAAGTTGGCGTGTCAGTGCTCGCAAGCCTACGATTTAAAATTTGTACAACGGAAGGCAGTGAAAGGCGGAGCCTTGGCTGATCAATTAAGCGCAGAAAATGCCCGGGTCGAAGCGGACCAAATCCCGGAAGTAGAATTTCCTTGATTGAAGGAGGTAGAATTTCCTGATGAAGACTTGTTAAGCTTGGAAAGTGAAGTCTGGGAGATGTACTTCGATGGGGCTTCAAACTACCATGGAAATGGGGTTAGTGTCGTATTCAAAGCTCCTTGTGGAGAGTACGTCCCAATCGCAGTCAAACTAGATTTAGACTGTACCAACAACAAAGCCGAGTATGAAGCTTGCATCAAAGGGTTAGAAGCGGCCCTAGAAAGAGACATAAAAAATCCTTAGGGTCTTCGGAGATTCCAACCTGAGAGTCTCTCAAGCGCTAAGGAAATGGAAAATTAAGGAAGAGCGGTTGGTTCCTTACCTACGACGCTTGGACGAATTGTATAGCTCAACAGTTTGAGGGAAACTATTTTCATTATCCACTACCTGCCACGTGCCCAAAAAAATCAGTTTGCAGGATGCTTGGCTACTTGGCCTCCATGGTTAACCTTGGCCTCCATGGTTAATGTAGGGGGAGGCCAAGTCATTCGACCTCTGACGGTTCGGCTACAGAAACAGCCAGCGCATGTCATGTACTTAGTCGACAACAAGCCTTGGTTTTGGGATATACAGAATTACCTTCAGAATGAAGCCTACCCGGAGGGATCCACCAAGACTGATCAATGAACATTGAGACAGTTAGCATCTGGATATTTCCTTATTGGGGGAGTTCTATATAGGAAAAGTTGGAATGGCCTGCACCTAAGGTGCGTTGACGAGGAAGAAGCTCAAAGCATCATGGATTCTTTACACAATGGAGAGTCACATGCACGGGATAGCTTTGGCTCGGAAAATTATGAACCTGGGTTATTACTGGCCGACCATGAATGCAGATTGCGTGGAGCACGCGCGAAAGTGCCATGAGTGTCAGGTTTTTGCTAAGCTGCAAAGACAGCCTCCGGTCAGTCTAAATCCTATTACTTCACCATGGCCTTTCGCAACTTGGGGCATAGACGTGATCGAAAAAATTCATCCAATGGCCATCAATTCATCCTAGTTGCTGTTGACTATTTTACCAAGTGGATTGAGGCAGCTTCTTATTCCGTTTTGAATGCCAAGAAGGCAGCACAGTTCGTTCGTACCAACATCCTTTGTCGGTACGGAACACCATTTCCTTGTCGGTATGGAACCACCATTCGAAAAGATTATCACTTCGAGATCATTACTGATAATGGGTCTCACTTTCAAAGCGAATTCTCGGATCTACTGAAGCAAAAGAAGATTCAGCATCACAAGCCTTCACCCTATCGTCCACAAACAAATGGGGCTGTAGAGGCTGCAAACAAGGCTATAAAGGTCATTTTGCAGAAGACAATTCAAAAGCATAGAGCGTGGCACGAACAATTGCCAAATGCCTTGTGGGATACAGGACTTCAATCAGAACACCTACTGGGGCAACCCCGTATTCCTTAGTATATGGCATGGAAGCAGTATTGCCTATTGAGCTGGAAGTTCAGAAGTTCGGTCCGGCAAGAATTATCCAGGAAAGCCAGTATCAGCGAAGCAATTTGGGCGAGAATTATCATTCGCAACTCTTGGGTATGGATGAAAAGCGATTGCGAGCAATCCACCAAACTTCAAGTGTATCAAAGAAGAATGGCGCGGCATTTCAATAGAAGGTCAAACCGGAAGTTGGAGAGGTTGTGTGTTTAAAGAAATTAGGGACAGCCAATCCTGGACCACGTTGGGAAGTTTTCGTCCTCATTGGGCTGGACCCTACCGTATTGAGAAAATACTTATCCGGGCGGAGCCGTCCATGCATTGGACTGATTGGATTTGGTTTGGAATTCACAAATCCGTGTAATTTAATCAGTTAGAAGAGTATGTTTGTGTAATTGTAATCATTTGCATATGTTAGAACCGAACTACATTAGACCTTGATTCTCTTTGCGAAAAAAGAAATTATATTATCGGAGATATGGTAGGCAGCCCTCCATGGCGCCGCGGTCTAAACATTAATTAAAAATCATTTCATAATTCACTTCTTTGCCAAATAGGAAAAAAAACGAGGAAAGAAAAGAAAAAAAAAGCGAAAAAAATAAAGAAAAACCCCACTAAGCTGAAAACCGAAAAGGGCGGCTTTAGGCAAAAGTCGGGGGCCCGCTAGCTGAAAACCGGAAAGGGCGCTGAAAAAAAGGGCGGTAGCTCGCTAGCTGTGAAAACCCGAAGAGGGCCCGGCGTTAGGCAAAAAATAGAGCTTGAATAAATTAGAAGTTGCAAATGCTTTTTGAAAAGATCAATACGGCCTTAATGACAAAGTTGCCCAAAGTCAGCAAAAAGTCCAATAAATAATAAAGTCTAAATCAGAGTCTCAAATAAAAAGCCAAAAAAGCAAAATATCCAAAAATCCAAAGCCAACACAGAAAGTAAATAAAAAAACAACAATAAAGTCCAAAAGCCTATAGGAGTCTAAGTGTCCCGCCTCCTCCGTGGAGCAACATCCTCTGAGTTATCCCTAGCTGTTAAGCTCCGCTCCACCTCGCCTGTCTTAGGAGTCAGCACAATCTCCTCCCTAGTCTCAGCCTCATCACTAGTGTCAGTCCGAACCCAACCTTCGAGTGCACTCAGCAGTGCAGTCCTCCTCGGTCTCTCAATTGGCCAGACAGTGGCAATGAACCAGGTCCGATAATTCAGAAGAAGTCTGAACTGAAACCACTGGTAGAATCGGGTAAAACGGTCTCCGCTGCGGTGATCTCTAAACCCAAGCTTTAAGGACAGCTCGGGTAAACACCGCAGTAATCGGCAGTAGCATACAGCCGAAATATCATTCCATAATGGGGAACAGTCCTGATCTATCTCCCATCTCCTCAAAATCACGCGAAGCGCGTAGTACCAAGTTGCAGTGGGTTAAGGCCTAGGAGCGTAAAAACCCGAGAATGGCGGCTGGAAAGCTGACCTGAATGAAAAGCCGGCTCGATCTATCTCGCATTATACCAGGGATGAACCACAGTATCCATTTGGAACCTAATTCAACCAGCCACGAACGTCACGAAGTCCATGTTTCAGTAGAAGGGTGCGAGATCAAGATTTTTCGCATGCGATACTGGGAAGGGTTGTAAGGAAGGGAGGTAGGAGCAGCCACCACTCGAAGATGATCCCTCAACCAAACCTGAGTAATGGATCTTTTCTATTACAAAGAAACAAATTAAAAAGAAGGAGAAGAATGAGGTAGGATAATAGGGAAGAAATACCTGGAGAATGATGGGAGAAACAGCCCAATCATCGAACCCTAAAGCGGCTCTGTCAAGGCTTCTAATGGTCTCTGCCAGCACAACACCGCCAATGCAACCCATATCCTCCATTTGCCAAACCACTCCTAATAGTCTCGGCCAGCACAATGCCGCCAATACAACCCCTATCCTCCATTTGTCGAACCATGGGCCTGGGTCCTGGTTAAACAAGAAGCCAGCTAATAAACAAAAAACCAGGGCCCGCATTCTTAGCCTCATCCGGCCTGGGTCGTCTGGGCAAGCCTCCAAAAATTCGTCAATCAGGGGCAACAGAACTGCCTTCTGGTCTTCGACAATCATAGCCTAGCCTGTGGTCGGCTAAACTGAAACATGGTTTTCAAAAGACCTAACATGCCGAATTTTTACCTCATGCTTGACCAAAGGGGCATTGGGGTCACACCCTATAATGGCACAAAACTCCTCAAAGAGAGGGCACATTTCCTCCATCTCCTTCCAATTCATCGCCCCAAACCGGAAACACATGGGCCTCAGGATCCAAAGTCTAATTATACAGGCCCGTAAAAATCCCAATCAACTACTACACCCCGAAGAGCAATGACAGGAGAAAGACCGTACCTCCCCAAATTGATCTTTTCGATTTTGGAGAGACTCCTAGTCCAGCTGTGCATGCTATCGTTCATCTTTAAAAGAAAAAAAAAGAGAGAAAAGGAGAATGAGAGAAGAAAAAGTTGAAAAGTGCCTTTTGGCTCGATTTTCGAGAAAAGATGAGGAATAAAAAATATACATATATATTTTCCATAAAATGGGCTGAAACAAAATCCTATTTTCTTTCAAATTTGATAATCATGCATACATGTTTTCAGTACTAACCAAGCGCAGGTACAGTATGTTTTCAGTACTAACCAAGTGCAGGTACAGTCAAAGTTCAGCACCGAAATACAGGTAAGAAAACAAAAATTCACATTTTGGCCCCTAAGGCCCAAAAGTTCACATCTGGGCCCCTAAGGCCCAAAAAATTCACATTTTGGTTGCCCGCTAAGGCCCAACAAAATTCACATTTTGGCCCCTAAGGCCCAAAAAGCTTTCACATCTGGCCCCTAAGGCCCACAAGATTACACTCACTTTTGCCCCTGCCCTGGAGGCCCAAAATTCACATTTTGGCCCCTCAGGCCCACATAAATATCCTATATTTGGGCCCCTCAGGCCCAGAATAAATTAACACTAGATTTTGGCCCCTGAAGCCCTCGAGAAGTTCTATCAGTCTGGGCCTCCTGAGGAAGTCCTCACGAGAGAAGATTGCACAATTTTGAGCGCTCCTGGAGGCCCGAGAGAAATTCGCACCCAGATTTTAGGCCGTTGAAGGCCCAAAAATTCACCAATATTTAAGCCCCTAAGTCCAAAAGTTCACATCCTGGAGGCCCCAAGGCCCAAAAAATTGCATCACCGTTTCCTGGCCCCTATAGGCCCAAAAATGTCTCAGATTTTTGCCCCCTTCAGCCCCAAAAAAATTCTCCGCAATTTTGGCCCCACTACAGGCCCAAAAGTCACCCATTTTTGGCCCCTACAGGGCACCAAAGTTCACGCTCTGGGCCTCCTAGGGGCCAA